TTACATGCATATATGCATAAATTGAAAAATATTGTCGATAAAATAGACTGTTCATATTATGCTGCATAAGAGCTATTTTACTTTCTTGCCTCAGTTATGCTAAATATACCTTCGTTCTGAAAGGATTAAAGGAAAGCTTCATTAAAAAATATCCTTGTGAATATATTTTCAAAAACAAAGGAATTGCAAGTTGTTCTGAAATAATGAGTTTTTGGTTTGATGCAAACGAATTGAGACAAAATTTTTAAACAATTATTTCGAAAACGTGTTTAAATATTTCATTATTCCTTATACCTTATTAAAATATCCATTTGAAAGCTTCTTATTTGACATTTCCTACAAAAAAAGTGAAATTTTCAGAGGCTATGAAATAAATTTACTCTTCTCTTCTTGTCTAATGGACATAAGTTATTGGAAAAATGGGATGATTTTGATTTTATTGTGAGGAAAAAAATTATTAATTATTTTTTTAATGAAAAAAATGAAGTATGAGCATTTAAATGACTTCAATGATTTTTGTATAGATAATAGATAATATTATATTAACAAATTATATCTTAACAAGCGCCACATTTTAAAGAGAATCTCGAAGTTTGTACCACACATACGTTTCTTTTTACGGATCCAACACATTTTGAATCATTCTAAAAAACCAGTTTGAAAAAAATATTTCTCTTTTCTGTTCATATCCTCATCTTATTCCAAGCCTTGTTAACGTTTTTTTTTCATCCATGTTCATGGTTTTAAATTCTGATGTATAGTAATAACGAGAAACACGAGAAACAAAATCTTTAAAAATTTGAAAATGATTTTTGTTTCCCTTTTTTGCACCATCAAAAAAATGATCGATTTATTAAGTATTAGCTTAGTTATATTCAATTTATATTAGTGATATTAAATTATGACTGGATTTTAATTAATAATAGAAAGTTCTTGCAAATAGGTAGATATTAGATATGTTGTATTAGATATCTGTAATTTTAAATCTATCATATGAAATGTAGTGATCTCTATACTTTTTAATACAAAACTTCTAGGAGTATTTTACCCTAAAACAAAAAGTATAGAAAAATAGTTCATTAGAAAAATTAAACAACCTTTATTTGAAATTTCCTTTAAAATGATTAAACTAAAAGATAATATTGCTAGTCTACAAATCTTAAACATTTTGTTTCATTGCATCAACGTTTTCAGTAAAATATTTTAAATAATACTGAATCATCAACACTTCGAATTTCGAAGAATTAGAGAGAAAAAAAGAATGAAAAAAAATTCTAAGGAAACAAGAAAAAGAGGTACCCAGTAAAAAACGAAAAGAAATAAGAAAACGAAACCAAAAGAAAAATAATAATAATAAAACAAGAAAATATTAAACAAATAAAATTAAGAAATGTGAAAAAACGACGAACGCAAACGAGAACCTTGTTAGCTGTAGAAATTTATTTTCTGATATTTTTTTCTTCTCTTCCATCTCCTTTTCTTTTCTCTTTTAGAGTTGATTGTTGTTTTTCTTTTCTTCTGTTCTTTCTTGGATTCATAAATAAACTCTGTTTTGAAACTTAAAATTTTACGTTTTAAGATATTGAAAAATTTCGATTGCACTAGACTTTATCGAAATATCTGTCAGGATAATAACTAGTCTTGGGTAATAGAACAGATCAAAGAAAGTGACAAAAAAGTTGTATGTACATACGTATATACACATATTGAAAAAATACTGTATAAAATAATTTATTACAATATAGTTTTACATTGTTACTTTACAATTTTCATAAGATTTTGGTAAGTTTCAAGCGATTTCCATTTGTCAATACCATGTAAGCTCTATAAATGTTTGATATTTGATATAAATATCTGTATTTATCAGTTTTTAAGGCTTTCTTCTACAGACCGTGTTTCCTTCAAAAGTACCATTCCCAGTCTATTTAAATGATTACGAAACACCCAGACATCAAAACTTAACTGGAAAGTATCCAGACAAAAATTCATCTGAGAAAAATAATTACCAGTCATGTCTGGGGACTGGAGTCATTTGTTCCAAGACATAAAGACATGTTTTGGAAAAAAGCCCCAACACTGTTATTTATGCTTCTTTTGGTTATGGTGTAACTTTTGCATCTTTCGCTTTTGGAATTTTAGTCAAAAAAATACGTTTATTTATCTTTGATTTTTTATTTCTAAGTTATTCTGGATATTTAGGATAACTTGAGATATCTCAAATATATTTAGATAACTTGAATATCTTGGATATCTTGGACATTTTAAATATACTTATCATCTCAAATATATTGCACATTCATGATATTCTAGTTATATTGGATATCTTTTGTATCTAAGGATATCTTTGATAAATCTAGGATTTCAAAGATGTATTGGATATTTTATATATCAAAGATATCCAAGATATATAAGATATCTTAAGACACCTATAATATCTTAATATAATATTATAATAATATAATACTTTATACAAATCAATATAAATATCGTCAAGGCAATTGTTGGCTCGAATCCTTATCGACAGAATTTTTAGAGATAAGAATTTATCAGCAGGAGTTAACAACAATCGTCATAATCATATTCTGTTAAGAAATTTGTTGAGATTCCAAAACTTATAAAAATGTAAAAAAAAAATTTGAAATCTCGTGATAAATTCAATGCAATGCAAAACAATCCACGTGATATCCGTAAAGAAGAAAAAATTTTAACCATTAAAAGTCAGTTTGCTTGAATGTTTCATTTTCAAACGTATTTCAGTTCAAAATACGTCATTGAAAGATCAGAGCAAGCTTAAACTTTGGCTTTAGTGATTAAAATAGACATCATAATTTCAAAAAAATAAAAAATTTACATACAATCATACAAAAAAAACTTTTCCTACAAAATTTTTTATAGGTTATGATTTTTCCATGAAAAGTTTTTTTATGTTATAAGAGTGAATGTGAAAATTTTTATTTCTTCAAAATCGTGATATACACTTTAGTTGCTAAACTCATATCAGTCTTAAATATCTCAAAAAAAGGTACAAAGTAAATACTTTCAGTTACCCTCAATACTTTATTTTTATATTTCATCATAACTATCAACAGTTGAGAGAACCGATATATTAACCATATAAACTTTTAATTAAGTAAAATCATAAATAGATTCAGAAATAAAAGAGTTAACATTGGGGATTTTTCTTTTGAAATTTGAGGTGCATTACGTGGCCTTCGTAATAAAATTTTTAGTTCTAAGTTCTGAAAGAAAAAAATCTTAAGTCAGTGTTTCCTAATCTAATTCTTCAATTTGATAAACATCAGGTAGCAAACTTTAAAAAACTTATCAAACATGAAAAGCTGATAGACATTTGGAATTGATAAAAAAAATTTGGATAAGTGGTGATGATTGTAGGCCACAATTATGAAATTAAAATATTTGTGCTTCATATATAATATACAGTGGAACTTCGATAAGCTGATGCCTCGATAAAGTAATAAACCTTTATAAACTGATATTGTTTTGTCCCCCTTGAATCGAATTTCTATGAAAGATTGCCTCGATAAAATAATATCCTTGATAAGCTGATATTTTTTTGTCCCCCTTGAGATATCAACTTATCGAAGTTCCACTGTAATTTTATTTCGATTAGGATTATTATTGAGTTCTCATTTCACTTTACATTTCCTAGAATAATAAGAAATACGAGTGATTATATTTAATTCTTTGAAGTTGTGATCTATTTTCGCAATCCAAATTATTCAATTTTGATCGGCCATCCTTGATCCTTGATCCAAATTTCGTCAATATAATAACATAATAATAATAAAACATAGTTTCTTAATAAATTAACGAAATTTGCCAATATTTTCTTGTTCTTTGAACTAAACCTTATTTGAAAAAATAAGTGTTAATCTATACATCTAAATGTGGATGTAAAAATATAAGCTTAGTGGAATTAGTGAATTTAGAACTAAATTGCATAAAAACACCAAGATTTGGTGTGAGTAAAGATAGAGAAGTGTTGGTGGTGTTTGAACTTTAAAATTTTTAGTAAACTTTTTTGATCTGATGATTAATAATAAACTGTAAATGAAAATCAAATGTTGCCATAAACTTTACCAACTGAAATTGAAAACCGAAAGGGGTACTAGCGTTTCGTAAAAAATAAATATAATATTCAGTCGCGTTTTCATACTTAGCTTCGATCTGTTATTGAATTCAGAGTTTCACAGTAAGCTCTGTTTGATCTATTGGTTACACTCACATGTACTATTGACAGCCTTGCTGTACGAAGAATGTAATTGTAAATGTGTTACGTAAAAATACACACAGCCTTGGTAAAAGATATAATAATTGTCAAAAATGTTATTACTTGTCGAGTATCTCCTCAACCTAGTAGATAAGGACATCAGCTCGGCAAGCTGAAGACGCGGGTTCGATTCCCGCCGGAAAACATAATGAAGGATAATTTTATAATTTCTTTCAATAAACTTTTGAAATTATCGCAGTTCCCAAAAGTTTTTAATTCAAGATTAATTCAAATTAAGACTACTACCTGAGTTGGGCGATCCATTTTTGGATCCAAAATCCATAACATTTCCATCAAATTTTTCAATACTTTTACCCCTATTAAAAAAGTTTGTTGCCCCTTACTCAAAAGCGATAGATTTGTAAAAAAATGTCACTCCTCGTAAACTAGAATTTTGCCGCTTCAAATGCTAAGGGGTAGAATTTTTTTTTACAAATCTGGCGCAATTGAATGAGAAGAAAAAATATTTATTAATAAGGGTAAAAAGTATTGATCGCCGATTCTAGTTAGACCGAAATATCGTGTATCAGAGATCAGGATCGGCGATCAAATTTTGAAATTTGGATTGCGAAAATGGATTTGTAATCTAAAAAATTTATGTTAACCCTTTAAAACTGGGTATTTTCTTAATAAGAACTTCACAATTTACTAAGGACTAAATTTAAATTTTGTTTCTCAACTTTCAAACTCATTTCTTTCATTATGACGAAATTTTATAATTTTTATTTTAAAAATACTCCCTAATGTGTATTGTTCAGTATTTTAAATTACCTAAATCTATATAAATGAATTATAACTTATTGACTCCTTTTTTTTTCAGTACGTGATGCAGGAAAATTCAATAGAAGTTGAAGTTCATTGACTATATAAGACTTGTTAAGAAATATTGTCGAATCGTAGTTTGTGCTTAATATTTTTACAAATGCTTTGGAAAAAGCATAAAATTTCCTAGAAGAGGAAATGACGTGTCATGAAAGAGGTAGATAAAAAAACTCAGAAAAAAAAAATTACATCTGAGTATTTTTCTGACAGGAATAAAATGCCAAGCCAATGTCCACTTCTATTATTGTGAGAATTCAACTGTCACCATCCAGTATATCTCCTGACACCATTACGCCAACTATAAGCGTTAGCAATAGTGGCGTTCACAAAATTAAAATGTCACAGACAAACAATGTTGGAGCTACTAAAGCTTCACCTGCTAATCCGTCGTCACCAGGTGATGATTTTGGTAGTACGGATGAGGTGAAAGTCTTTAAGGATGAAGGTGATAAAGAAGATGAGCAGTCATCAGGAGAGAACCTTCTGCTGGAGGAAAAATCGAGTCTGATTGATTTGACTGAAAGCGAGGTATGGGATAAAGTTTTACATTAAAATATATTTTGAAAAGACTAAAGCATAAATTTAACACAGGCATGAGAAATATTTCTTTAATACTTAGAGTTAAGTTTATCAAATTTGAAATGAAAACGGCTGATAATTTTCATTTTTTCGTTTTCTTTAGGATAAATCAGACAAACACTCCCTTCGACAGAACCATAGCCCTATCTACAGCAAGGATGTACATCATCCATCAAGCTTTAATGTTGGCTACCTTGTATCGCCATATTCTTATACTAACGGTGCTGCTTCTATGGTAAGTTTTAATCTCTTCTCATTAATTAAAAATATTTATTGCTTTACACTTATAAAACTATTTACGTAGAATGGATTGGATTCAAAATTATTTATATAGGTATATATCGTTTTTCAAAATTTAAAAAAAAATCTTTTTCAACAATTTTTTATGTGAGGAGATGATATCTGATTTGTTTAAAAGTATGCTTAGATAAAATGAAATTCAATGGGCCGAGATTAAAAATGTCTAAGCCAAAATTACAAAAATAAATAATAATTAATTTTGAATCTAATCCATACTTTAATGAATGAACGGATTAAAACTTTTTTCAATTTGATTCAGTTTTAATGTGCATGAAGATTACTTCCTGAAAAATATAAAAAAAAACTGGCATAAGGGAACGATCCTTTGCTTGATAATTAGTTATTGGTTAGTTTACATGCTTCCAAGCTGTTAAATTTATGGGCAAATTTACGACGATGAAAATAGAATCTGATAGTTTTTATCCTCTATTCTTTTCTATTTAATTAAAAAATATTTTTTCACCTTTTCTGAATTTTAAAGTTGTTTTATTGTTCCGGAACAGAGAAACAGACCTGAAACGGAACAAAAATCTTTTCCGGAACACTAAAATGAATCTGAAACGGAACACAAACATGTTTAGGAACATTTAAACGAATCAGAAATGGAATAGAAATATGTTCTGGAACACCAAAAGGACTTAATGCCATAACAAAACGTAAACTCTGATTGTCATAAAAAATAAAATTCAAATGCAATCTGATCGCTCAAATATCAAGATCGAGTCTTTCACAAAAAGAAAACTCGCCCTTGATCTGTTAATGAGTATGAGATTTCTATAAGCATAAGAAACATGTTCATTGAACTTGAATTAACTTTAATCGATATGTAAGACTATATATTGGTATGAATATAAATTATGAAACTTAAAGAAATTAGTAGTAATATCTAATTTTATTACGTGTAACTTCATAAATACCACTTTTGAGAAGATCAATGTCTACATTTTAATTGCTTTGTTAAATTTACCAATAGAAGAAATCCTAATTATTTATTTAGTTTCTTTTCCTACTTCTTGTTAACTTTCACCTCATTGACCATGATTTCCTTTCATTGGTTTTCCTTTTCCTTTATTCAAAATATTTTTCTCTTCATGTGAGAACGTGATGGGTTGGAAGAATATTTTTAAAGGAGGGTGAAAGTATACATAAAAATTTCTTGTATTGCACAGAAGCAGTAAAAGAACGCCAGTAATTGTTCTTTTTATATCATTTTCAATTGGTCGACCATAAAAATAATTGGAATAGGGGTTAAATCAAGAAAAAATATTGATAATTTTATGCTTAACGTAAAAAATCTAACTTTCTTTTCATTTTCCTTACATTTTCCTTATACATAATAAAATACATATCCTTGCATTTAAAACACCTTGCACAATATCAATAGAATTAAAACAGAAAATCAATAGAATTGTTAGGTTTCTCGATTGAAAATTATTATTAAATATAAAAGAATTGCAAAACTTTTCATCGTACTTATTATTTATATACATACCAGTTATGTATAGCTTTAATCATCTAGTTATAATATTTATTAATTATTTTGAAATCACATGAAAAAATTCACAAAATTAAAACAAGGAGCATGAAACACTGAACACTTTTATGACTTTTTACAACATTTTTTTCAATCTAGTTATAACCTAATTGAGAATAATATATAATAATAATAATAATAATAATAATAATAATAATAAT